TTAGGGATTTGGGTTTCAAGTTGTGAATTTATAGGGGAACACAAACATTCAAACCACAGCACCTGCACTTTCTCCATACATAGCTAATACTTAAATCAAATTATAACCAGGAAGTTGGTTGGCAAGTGCTTAGGAATATGAACTGAGGTGCTATTGGTAAGATCCAAATGTTCAATGCACTGGATTCCAACCATCTGATTCAGTCATTTTCAAATTCAACTTTGATTTTATTAGCAACAGTGCACATTGCAGGAGAAAGTATTACAACTCATGCACAGACCTATAGATGCATGTGCACAGACCTCTGCTCCCCTCTCTGTGCTCTGGATGAATTCTGGTAGCTTACCCCGAGTCCTGTCCTAGCAAACTTACAACCTGGAGGAGGCCAGAAGAGGAATGGGGAGAGAAGAGCAGAAGCAAGTCAAGTCGCCACCTTGACTGGTTTACATTCACAATGGAAGCTTACCTCTGAGTGAGTCTATGAAGGTGTTTCCAAATGAGTTTAACTAATAAGGGAGGGCCCATCCTGAATGTGGACAGCACTATTCTCTGGGCTGAGACCCCAGAGTGAATAAAAAGGAGAAAGAGAGCTGAGCACTGTGATTTGTCTCTTGCTTCCTGTGTTTTGTACGATGTGACCAGCTGTCTCAAGTCCTGCCACCAGACCTTCCGAGCCATGATGGACTGTTCCCTCAAACTGTGAACCACAAAAATGTCTCCTTCCCTAATTTGCTTTTTTTAGGAGTTTCGTCTCAACAACGGGAAAAGCTGTGTATACACAGGCTTTGCAGAGACACAGAAACACAAAAGACTGTGGTACGATTGGGGAAACTGTGATGGACCACAATAGCCAGATTACACCTGAAATCCCAGTGCTTGGGAGGTTCATGAGTCTGAGGATGCCTGGGCTGCATATTGAGTTTCAGGTCAGTCTCAGTTACACAGTGTGGGGGGGGGGAAACTCAGAAAAACCAACAAAAACCCACAATAGACTATTTGGTGAGGAGATCCTGATAAGAGCTAGTAAGAGGGGCTGAAGTAAGCAATCACCAGGCAGAGTGGCCTGTGATCCCAGCTGTCCAGGGTGCAGAGGCAGGAGAATCAAGAATCAAGCTCAAGGCTAGGGACGAGGGAGATAGCTCAGTGGTAGCATGCTTGCCATGAAATCACAAGGACCTGTTTGGATCCCTCGCGCTCAGGATAGAGGCGGGTGGGACCACACATTCCTGTCATCACAGCACTGGGGAGGCAGAGACAGGGTGACCCCTGCACTGGCTGAACCACCAGCCTGGCCAAAATGGTAAGCTCCAAGGAAAGAGACCTTGCCTCAAAAGTAAGGTAGAACGTAATTGAGGAAGATACTTGATGGCCTCCACGTACAGGCATGCAAACACACATTGTAAGTGTCACAGCTCTGAGGGGAAAGGTAACCTGGCAATATTGGGAGCCAAAGAATACCACAAAGTCACACCACACAACAAACCTCACATAAGAGATTTATTGGAAGGGAAAACCCAGGAGGTCGGCTGCCTCTGCTCAGGCAAGAAGCAGCAGAGAACTGAGCAGAAGACAGGGTTTATATAGAGTTTCGAGGGTGGGGGGCAGAACTTTACAGAGTGGAAACTTCCAGGGTGGGAATTGGTGGTATTTCAAGGCCTGAGCTTGGGTTTTTCACTCTGTAGGACAGAGCTTGGCTGCCTGTGTCTGGAGGGGCTGGGTCCAGCCATTAGAGTGTTCTCTGGGCAGAGCCTGGCAATCAGAAGTCCTCAGGGGTGGGGACTGGCCACTCGTGCACATTGAGGGACTTACACACACCAAACAAACGAATGAATGAATGAATGAATGAATGAATGGATGGATGAATAGGCTATGCAGTGAGTTCAAGTCAAGGCCAACCTGGGCACCTTAGGTCTTATTTCAAAAATTTTTAAAGAAGTAAAAGTAAAGAGAAGGCCGTAGGCATAGCTCAGTGGCAGACCATATACACACATGGTCCTAAATTCAATCCCCATTACAGGATGGGGGAAAAACAATACAAAATGAAGGAAAGATCCAAACATTGTGACATCACTTGGATCATATACAGAACACTATGGAAAACCTTAAAAGGAGGTGCTCATGATCAGATTTCAACTTTAGAAATATCAGTTTCTTTAGTAGGAAAGGTCAATATATACAAGAGTGGCAGCTAAGGGGTCTGTGTCCCATGCCATTGCCCACCCTTAACTCCTCACGCGGGGAACACACACTAGGTCTCCAGCAGCCGGCCCCTGCATCTCATCACCAGCAAGCCTGCTCTCCTGCCCACAGCTGGCCTGATGTGTCAGAAGACGAATGCCCCGGCTGCATCCTCAGCCAGGGAGGACCAGCTCCGTGGAGAGCTCTGGGGTCTCTGTTCTGCCTCCCTTGGCAGCAAGCTCCAGGCCACAGTGGCAGCCAGCTTGAGGGCAGACATGGTGGCTGCTGTCCCCTCCTTGTCTCCCTTCTCTTCGTGGCCCTTGTTGAAAATGACCCCGTCCTCTCCACCTCCACATACATCACTTGTGCTCAAGTCTTCCTCCCAGAACATGCTTTTGGTGGGATCCAAACCATGGGTGAAGAATGATGAGGACCGGAGTAAGCAAAGAACGTGGAGCTGTAGAGACGACATGGTTCAGATCCGAGCAGGGTTCAATCCCCCAGAACCCACGTAAAAAGAGCCGGGTGTAATGTTTCATGCTCGGAATCTCAGCACTGGGAAGGTAGGTGGAGATGAGGATCCCTGCGGTTTGCTGACCAGACAGCCAAGCTTAATTGCTGAGTCCCAGGCCACTGCAAGACCATCTCAAAAGAAAGATGGTTGGTCCTCCTGAGGAAAGACAGAAGTTGTCTTCTGGTTTCCACACACAGGAGCACACACATATACGCACTGTGCTATAGACAAAGGAAACGGGCTGGAGATAGGTTTCAGATGTTAAGACTGGCTAGGAAGGTGCTAGGGAATTGTGGGAATCCATCCAGATTTCTGATTTGAGTAACTCACCAAGCAACTCGGAGTAAAGGTGAAGAAAGAGGACAGGCTCGGACTTGAACAACTGAGAGCTAGATAAGCATGTGGCGTTGAGAAGCAGAATGTCGGACCTGAGAAGGCTGGCCCAAGTGGAGATTTGTATTGGGTACAATGACTTTTATCATTTTTGTCAGTATATAAATCCCTTTCATATTAGGGGGAAAAATCTAAATGGAGGCAGAAGCCTGTCCTCCCTTGAGAGAAATCACAGGGGATCAGATTCCACGTATCAGCTCATTAGCAGCCTGGGCAAAATCGTGTGACCTGGGCTTCCCAACCAGAAGACACCCCACCAAAATTTTTATATATTGGGGGGATGGTGTGTGACAGTCTCATTGTTTAGAGTGGCTGTGGCAGAACTGGCTGTGAGTGACAAGGTGACAATAACAGCAACTATTCCCTCCTCCCTTCCGTGGTTTCCCACAGGTCATCTTTGGAGAAGAACACCAAAATCCATAGTTCATCATCATGGCCAACTATGAGCCAAATGCTTTCATTTGAAAAGCGGGAGGGGCCAGTGTTACATTTCTTATCCTGGGAGGTAGGTCTGTGAACTTGCTTTTAGGTTTTCTGTTTTTGTTTTGTAGTAAGCATAACTATGCACATGGAACATTCTTTTAAAGACAGGGTTTTGTGCATCCCAGGCTGGCCTCAGACTCACTATGTAGCTGAGATTGACCTTGAACTCATGATCCCCTTGCATTTATCTCCCAAGTACTGAGGTTGTAGATATATACCACCGTACCTGGTTTATACAATGCTGGGTATTGAACTCCAGGTTTCAGGCATGCCAGACAAGCACTGTACCAACTGAGTTACACTCCCAGTCCAAGGATGGTTGCCTTAGAGAGTAATGCCTCACACTTTGTATTTGCCATTGGTCACCTAGAAAGCTAGTATCTAACCAGAAATAGGGTTAAAGTTTCTTTGTCATTGCTGTTCCTGTTTTGTTTTGTTGGTTTTTTTGAGACGGGGTTTCTCTGTGTAGCCCTGGCTGTCCTGGAACTCACTCTGTAGACCAGGCTGGCCTTGAACCCAGGGATCTGCCCACCTCTGCCTCCCCAGTGCTGGGATTAAAGGCATGAGCCACCACGCCCAGCAAGATTAAAGTTTTTTAATCAGAAAGCTAGAGTTTTGCATACAGCTGGGGCACCTGCATCACCAACAGCTCTCAGGCTCTGTTTGCACGCTCCTCGGCTCTCAGACCTCCTACCCGCCCACCTGTGTGGCACCAACGTTTTTCTCTGGTAAACTATAGACCTTTTCCTCTCCTTGGCAGCTACCCTTGAAATATTAATTCTCCTTTTCACTCCTGACACCACTCTTCCTCATGTGGCTTTCCAGCCTTGTCACTGACCTTGGGCAGCCGGGATTCCTCAGTGGCACTTTGTCACTCGACTCTTTTAAGTTTTGCAGAATCATCCCCATCCCCTCAAAAAGGAACTTGGAATAGTTTCTCAAGGACCGCCTCGATGGTATGTGAAGGACAACAGTTTGGGCTACTAAAAGGAACCCGTTCCCATGGCTGGAATGAAATCTCTGCCTTCTGGGGCTCCCCTTCCTAGTCATCTTGCTTGGACATACTGCACTTCCCAGCTTGATTTACCATTTTATCCCAGCATCCTACGGAGAATTTGATCAAAAGAGAACCACAGCATATAAACCAGCCACACCTGCACATTTTATTACAAGTATGTTGTTTGCTTGATTCAGATGGGGAAGAATGGTGGGAAATGAAGAGCCATAGGAAAGCTGTCCTCACGGTCCAGCTCCTCTGCTGCCATGGGCTCCTTTCCAGTTGGTGCAAGAAGAGATCTGGGGCCTGTGTTTGCTTTTCTTGGCATCTTCAGAGGTGATGTCTGTAGCTGAAGACACTGGGGCTATTGCCAGAAGCCCTGCTGGAGCTGGGACTATGTGATTCCAGGTTCTAAGATCTCATCTGCTCGCCACGATGGGGAACATTTTGATCTTGGCAGACACGCTCATGCCGGTGCTCCAAATCCACCAGGTTCTGTTCCCTGCTGCTCGGACCCCAGGCAGAGCAGCAGAATAACCTCTGGACACACAGAACTGGGCAGCAACACCACCTCTGGAATTCCCCGTGTCTCCCGAGGGAACTTGTCACCGTGGACACAAACATGATTATAAACTGCTTGTGACCTGGCGGCACATTAACACACTCCCATGAGGGGAAAGAAGAGCAAAACTTCCTTTCCTGGTAGCTGGCTCCACTGTCCTGCCCACTTCAGACCCAAGGAAGTAAAGGTTTCAGCTGTGCAGACGAGCCTGGCTGAACAAAGCAAAACAAAATCCTGAAGGTACAGTGTTCTTGTGTTTACAGCCAAGAGCCTTGGTCTCTGCCCTCCTGTACATGTCTATCCTCTGGCCTGCTCTCTCTCCTGTCTCTGACACTCTTGTTTTGGGTGTTTCTGCTATGCCTTGCTTTCCCTCAGAACCTTGTTTTATTGTTGATCGGATTTCCATTGACTTCTCCCTCACTGCCCATGTTCATAACTGGTACTGGCTGCATAAAGTTTCCAACTGTCCTTGATGAGAACAGATAGAAGGCATTTCTGAAAGAATAAGAACATAGATCTTCGAGGGTGGTCTTCTTCTGTAACTGAGAAAAGGAGAGTTATATTTCAGAGCATGGAGGAGGCAGCTTGCACAACATCCTTGCTTGTTTTAGTGTGCATAGTCCTTAAAGGATCCTGGGATCTTGCCTCCTCCTCCTCATTATTCCTCCAGTTGCTGGTCTTCACCCTCTGTACCATGATGAGACTGGCACCGCTTTGTGATAACTGAAGACTTCAGAAGACTTGGAACAAACCTGTCAAGAGAAACCAGGCCTAGCTGTATTCTGGAACTTTCCACCTCTCGGTTGAGAGCTTCAGGGTTTTTTGTTTGTCTGTCTGTCTGTCTGTCTGTTTGTTTTCACTTCTTTTTTTATTTATTGTCCTAAATAGATAATGTCTTCTCATGGCTTAAATTCAAAAGTATGGGGCTGGAAAGACATCTGAGTGGCTACAGCTTCTGCTGCTCCTCCAGAGGACCTGGGTTTGGTTCCCATCACCCACATGGCAGTTCACAACCATCTAGAACTCCATTTCCAGGGGAGCCAGTGCCCTCTTCTGACCTCTGCTGGCAGCAGGCATGCACGTGCTATAGGCAAGCACTCATACACATAAGATAAAAAGAAACCAAAAATGCATCAAAAGATATATTAAACAATCCCGTTACCCTGGCTCCCCCATCAAGTTTTCTGGGTGTTTTCATTCTACTTGTCTGTAAGTTTTCTTTGCTACAAAGCAAATTACCACAAATTTGGTGGCTTAAAACAAAGCAAGCACGTTAACTCATACTTTCTACAAGCCGGAAGTCTGAGCGATGTTACTGGTTTTCTGTTTAAGGCATCCCAGTGCTGAAATCTTGGCACCAGGTGGGGCTCCAGCCTCTAAGACAAGGGTCCTCTCCCAAGCTCCCAGGTGCTGTGTATGGAGGACTGAAAGTGAGATCCTTGGGGCTTTTTGTTTGCGTGTTCTGTTGACTGCTTCATTAGTTACTCCCAGAGGCTACCCAAGACACAGAGCTGGCTCCATATGCAGGTTGACAAAAGGGCTATTCTCTTTTTTTCTAGCTCAGCAGGACAGCATCATATTGGCTGGTCACACTCACACTCAAGGAGAGATCATACAAGGAATAGCATTCTGCCAGCAAGCTCCACTGATGTTGGGCTAGCTATAAGCCCAGAATGTACCACTTCTCCTTGAAACAATGGCACATGCAATAACCTCCCTGTCTTGATTTTGTGGTATGCCACCCCACAGCAGTGTACACAGTCTTCATACCCCTCACAGACTCTTAGTCCTTCATTATGTTGATATATTACTCTACCACTCCCTGACTGGTGGCCACTCGGACACATCCTGGTCTTGGCCCTACTATATAAAGTCATCCTATCATGCAAAGTGTTGAATAATCATTTATTTTTCTGGGTCAAAGAAATTCACTGCATATGAGCTCACTTTTCGGAGCACATTACCTACAGTGGGATTCCTTGCTCAGCCTTGATGCAGCGGGGAGGGCCTTGGTCCTGCCTCAACTGAATGTATCAGGCTTTGCTGATTCCCAATGGGAGCCCTTAGCCTTTTGGAGGAGGAGATGAGGGGTAGGTTGGGGGAGAAGGCTGGTGGAGAGCGGGAGGAAAGATGAGAGGGGGATCTGTGGTTGGTATGTAAAATGAATAAAAAAAAATCTTAAATAAAAAAAAATTCACTGCATAAATTCCTCTTTATAGAAATGGCATCACTTTGTTCTCCTTTCTCCCAAAAATTTTAGCACAGTTTTCATCTTTTGAGACTTTCTTTGTGTGAATGAGGTTGCAGGACTTGAATAATTAAAGAGAAAATTTGTACTTCTTGTTCTGTGGACTGTTCATGTTCTTTGCTCATTCATGTTGATTTGTTGATATCCTCTGAATTTCTAGAAGCAGCTAGTCCTTTTATTTTTTCAAGACAGGGTTTCTCTGTGTAGCTTTGTACCTTTCCTGGATCTCGCTCTGTAGACCAGGTAGGCCTCAAACTCACAAAGATCCACCTGGCTCTGCCTCCCGAGTGCTGGGATTAAAGGCGTGTGCTACCACCGTCCAGCCCCAGCTAGTCCTTTTTGTGATGAAAAAAAAAATGTCAAATAATTTCCCAGTTTGTCCCTGTCTTTTGACTTCTAATGTTGTGTTTGCTATAAAGAAACTTCTCAAACATGCGATTGAATTTGATGATCTTTTATCACCTTTGGATTTTGAACCACAGACTCAATTGTTTTTAAGGGGAGCCACCATGTTGTTGTTGTTGTTGTTGTTGTTTCTGCTGTTGCTGTTGTTGTTGTTGCTGTTGCTGTGGTTGCTGTTGTTGTTGTTGTTGTTGCTGTTGCTGTTGTTGCTGTTGCTGTTTGCTTGTTTGTCTTCTTGTGTCAGCAGTTTCTTTCTTTCTTTTTTTCTTTCTTTTTTGTTTTGTTGTCTTGTTTTCAAGATAGTGTTTCTCTGCATGTCCCTGGCTTTCCAGGAACTCTTTCTGTAGACCAGGCTGGCTTTGGACCACACCTGGCCAGTTTCATTTTTTATATTTGAATCTTGGTGCTCTTGGAACTCAAGGTTTTAATCTAGAACTCCCAGTTTCAAATCTCTTCCATCAGTAATGTTTTACTTCTTGGGAAAAGAGAGGAATAAAGGTCGCTGGAAGGCAGTGTAGAGAAGACCAGGAAGAGTTGTGCATGCTGCTCTGCAGCATGGCTCAAAGTGTGGTAGTGGGGGGCCGTATGGATCCAGTGACTGGCAGCATGCATACCAACAGCCAGACACTCGGATGGACTGAACTTGAAGATAATAACCAGGCAATGTGCAGTGAGAGTGGGGAGATGAGTCACTGGTTTCCAAGCTGGCACTGTCTGCTGTTGGGCTGTTTTGCCGCACTGTGGAGTGAACCCGGGGCCTTGAGCATGCTGGGGAAGCACTCTGGCAACCTTCTATGCTCCTGTTCTTGAGAAAGTTCCTCCTTGTCAGCAGAGGCTACAAAACTTTTACACCCTGATGTCCTCTGGTTCTTTCCAAGTCTTCATGAATAACCTCAATATTCTTTGAATCTTCAAATTTTAAATATAGTAACATGTACTTTCGGTAAACCATTTGTAAGATGTGAAAAATGCACAAACTTGTGTGCTCCCTGCAGCACTCATGCTCAGAATAGGCTGACAACTCCTGACACTCTCTCTCAGACTGCTGTTAGTACTTTTCAAAGCAGAACATCCATCTGCTCTTCACCCCAGAGCTTTGCCTGCTCCAGAATTATGTCATGCACACGGAATCCTGCTGCTGTGGTCTGTCTTTCTGTCCTCCCCATTCATGTGCAGAAATCTGATCCCCAGTGTGTTTGTGTTAAGAGGTGGGAACATGGGGAGGTGGTTAAGTCACAAGTGCAGAGAATTTGCATGTAGGATTAGGGTTCCATAAAAGAGGTCCCAGGGCCTGCAAAGCAGCTCTGCAGGTAAAGGGGCCCAGGCCAGATGGCCTAAGTCCCATCCTTGGTGCCCACCTGGTGGAAGGAGAGAAGGTGCTCCTACAGTGCTCCTCTGACTTTCAGAGGCAGGCCACGGCAGGCACACACACACACACACACACACACACACATACACACAGAGCACAGACACACACACACACACACACACACCATAAACACACACACATACACACACACACACAGAGCACACACCACATACACACACACACACACCATATACACACACACACACACACACACACA